ACCCATTTTGTCTTCAGTGATTGTGTTGGGAAGGTAAGCATCACAGAATGCTGTGTTATTAAAACAAAGTGTTCTTGTATTGAGGGAGTGCTTGAGTAGAGGTTTGTGATGCTAGGGACTGAATCTTGAATGTTACAATTATTTGGTATTTTAGCTTATATGACAGATATTAGTTAAGTCCCCCAAAGAAAATATGTTCACCTACGTTATCTGTGTGTACTACCTCTGATTATGTTTTTCTTGCATCTCCTGTTAATTTACCTTCTAGATTCCTAGAATCCAAAGTACAGACTCTCATATTCTATATATCAGCATCTCACGGCACAGGTCCTAAACCATAATCAGATTTTGCTGGCTAAGATGCTTCTACTTTTTCTATTTTCCAGTGAAGTTTTGACAATCAAAAACTCAGTTTACTCAAAGGGTAATTAAATACTACACACATACGTATGTAAGTTCTACCTGTGGTCTCTAAAACTTGACTCGATCTACAAAAGTGATTATATATCATCTTTAAAGTACCATATACCTTGGCTGGGTGAGGGATAGCTGTTCTAAATGTGCTCCTGCTATCTGAATACCATGGGAATTCAAAAAGGTGGTGGAAAAATAATTAAAAGACAATGGGATTTTCTGCGAACTTTCTAAAGCTCCCTCATATTTCCATTCTTACTTGGACCAGTCAGTTTCAAATATCACCATTTTAATGATACTTTCGCAGATTTTGGGGTTAGCTTCCCAAAGTCATTTCCAACCCCCTTCTTTCCCTTGTGGAACCTAAAAAGCCACATAGTCCCTAGCCTTTCTTGCCACTAAATGAAGTTATGTGCCCTCCTTCTGGCTAATGAAACACTAAGAAGATTCTGTTGGGGAGTTTCTGGAAAATATACTTCTGTTCTGATAAAAAATCATGATGAGAAATATTTGGCTACTTTCCTCCTTTGCTTCCTACTTCTGAACATGGGATAAAAATGTAATTCCTGGAGTGGCTACAGTCGTCTTAAAACTGTCCAGGTGAAGTCAAATAATTCACGTCACTGATCCAGAACCATGAGATTTTTGGGCCATTGCAATAAATAGAAAGATCACCTATAGGCAGGTTTTTCTACATATTAAAGCCACTGTTACTTGATTGTCTGTTACTTGCAGCAAATGATTGTAGCTATTCATAATTAAATGTAAAGTAGATGTTTTGTATATATAGCAAACTTTCATTTACTTAGACCACAGTATAGTCGGGAAATCTGTACTTTGAGAACCAATTAATTAAAAGGATGATCTTCTAGGAGTAAGGAGAAAGTACACCCAAGTGGTGGTTCATGAATGAACAACTAATCGGAACAGCATAATTCATTATTTTATACAATAATCCCCTCCACGCTGCTTTACTAGGCTCCAGGGGTATAAAGATTAATAAGACATTACCCCTTCATTCAGCTAAATGATACCCTCTTGAGTGAATCTGCTGTGTAAACCAACACTGATATAGAGGTGTGTCCAGGAGCTCCATCAGAGAGATGCAAAGCGGAACCAAGTTTGGAAGGCTTCCTAGGGAAGTCATTGGAAGAAAGGATCATCTAAGCTTCCACTCAATTCTAAAAACTTATCACAGTGATTAAAGAGCTAAGCTTTTATTAATCTTCTCCAAAGAGAGGATTCTGTAATCAAAAAATATAAACCAAATGA